CAGAGGGGGGGGATCAGCTCTTCTCTTACTCTCCAGACTGTCACCCCGCCCTGAGTCGGCTGGCACCTTGAGCCAGTGCTATCTGGACCTGAGCCGAAGTCAGAAGTCAGGGTTCCTGACCCAGCCCTCACCCCCAGGGCTCCTCCTGCTTGGTGCCTGGGAGGGGAGGAAGGAAGTCCGGAGCACCCAGATCCTGACCCCTCCCACTCTTATTAATTCACACTTTCCTGGAGCACCCTGGAGGGGCTGAGTCTTTTTACCTGAAGCTGGAGAGGAGAGCATCTTACTTGATTTACGGGCTCCTGGGGCAGGTGGCTCTGGCTGGTTGCTAGGGTATCTTTTAAATGGAAATCAGGGTGGAGAGACAGCACACAGATCCGGCAGCCATCTGCTAAATGTTGCCTCTTCTGCAGGAGCTTCTGACAGGCAGCCTTCCCAGGAGGGGAGGGAGCAGGGCGGCTGGAGCAATCTGGGGTCTCCGCCTTCACGCCCAGGAGCAGGAAATCCCCTTTTCCGCCTCTAGGTCCTTTATGTCCCTGATCTCTCCTTATCGCTCTCTTTTTCCTTTTCTTTTAAATATGAAGTCCTATCTGGAGGCTCTGATTGCAAACCCACAGCCTGGTTCCACAATTTGGCATTTACTGCCAGTAGATTTCTGTATGCGTGCCCGTGTGCGCGTGTGTACAGGCTCACGTGTGTGTGACTCACCACCACCGGGGCCCAGCAGGTGGGTCTTTCCAAGCCAGTGAGGCCCCGGCTGCTGAGAACACGGCGTTGCCTGCCGGCACTTCCCCGAAGCGAAAACACCAGCACCTGAACCAAGTGAGACAGCTCGGTCATCACGGGTCCCCTTGTCCATCCTGTGGTGAAGCAGCCAGCAGGCACGTGGAAGCCTCTGGAGGGGCCTCCTCTATTCAGTGCTCCAGGAGCCAGTCAGACAGTCCATAGTGTAAACAGTGGGTTCTTTCCAGGGCAGGTGGAGGAGTGTGGGCTTTGAACTGCACTTCGTAGTGTTCAAATGGGGATGGTAATACTAGGCCCACAAGGTACGGTGGGGCAGGTTGCTCACTGCACAAGGTTGCTCAGTTGTGTGCCCTGCAATGCCCAGTGGGGATGCCTCCTTCTAAACGCACAAGGGCACCTCTCTCATAGGCTGGTGATAGCACTCATCTTGCAGACTTGCGAGGACCACATGAAGCAATCCAGGAGCAAGGGAAGACTGTCCCCACCCTGGGTAAAGCCCAGGCCCGGGCTGGTTGTAGCACTGTAGGTTGCAGGGAGCTGTGTTTCCCTTCCTCTCTGGCCGCTTCAGATCCCACCCTGGCCCCTGCTACCTCACGGCCCTTCCGAGCAGGCTGCTGCATCCCTCACACTGCTGACACTGGATGCCAGCATCTCTTTGGACACCTGGCTTCTGACCCCCGCGCTCTCCCAGCTTCTCTCACAGATAATCCCGAGGCCTCTTCCCAGCTTGCCCTCTCCCCAGCCTCCCCTTCACTGCCCCCTGCCCAGCTCCCTGCCTTCATCCGTGCCCCACCCCCCCACTCGCG